GGGTACTGGATGTGTCTTCAATAGGACAGCTCTGTATGGTTACGAGCCTCCTCTCAAACCTAAACACAAAAAACCAGGGTTTCTCTCTTCATTGTGCGGTGGATCACGAAAGAAAAATTCTAAATCAAGTAAGAAGGGTTTGGGCAAAAAGAAATCTGGCAAGCATGTTGACCCTGCTGTGCCAATATTCAGTTTGGAGGATATAGAGGAAGGGGTGGAAGGTACAGTTTTTTACCTGTTAGGCTGTTACTATTATTTTTCCTTGATATTCAAGTTTCACGTGTTCGTTTTTCCAAGTTGACATGTGGAAAGTCTATATGCATCACTCAAATTGGAACCCCTATACCACATTTAATCATGTTATTCTTAATCTTCCTGTATCTTAACTATACTAAAGAAACACCACTTGGTCAGTTGGCTGTGTTACTTAACCTGTGATTCAAATGGTTGAAAACACAATACGCAGGTGGAGCCCACACTGGCTTCTTGTATACATTGGCTTAAGATACTCTTGACATGCGAAATATGATTTTAAAAATTGATAGTTACATTAACTATATGGATTACTACAAGGTAACATTGATTCAATAGTTAAAATTCGGCTCAATAACCTTGAGTTTGTGAGCTCGAACTTCGAATTTGAGGGCAACTACTTTGTTCAATTAGTGTTTAATGTACGTCTACATTCTCTATACCTGATCTACCCTTTCCTAGTCCCCCCCATTAACAGGGACTAAAGAATAGTGTTGTTTATTTTATTTCCCATTCCAGTTCCTTAGTATTTACCGATTTAAAAAAAGATTACAAGGTATATATGGATACAATATCTATATAATAAAACAGCTAATACCTTGAATTTTATCTCATTTATATTTTCTCCCTCAAAATCATTACTAATCACTTACCTCACCCATCATTTATCTGGCAGACTCAAACGTCAAGTCGCATCACTCATTTTTATCACATGTTTAATCATTTATATATTTCCTCCCTAAAAAATCACATCATTAATTTCTATCATATGTTTAATCATTTAATATTTAATTAATTTATACTTAATATAATTTTTATTTCAAACATTATTCATATACAATAGTATACACATGTTGAAAAAATTTAATATAGTGGGATTGATTTTTTGGGTCATCAAATTTTATATTTTATCGTGCCTTTAGGTACGGGTTATGACTAGTATTTTAATAAGTTATAATAGAACGTAAAATAAATAAAGCCTTCACTTTGGAGTTATTTATCGCCTATACTCAAATAAGCCCATATATAGCTGTAGCATAAGCTTATTTATTCATGTGCACATACACAGTTCTGTGCATTCATTTTAATCTGATGTGACTTATGCAACCATGTCTTCATAAAATGGAAGCACAAAAGTTGCTGTGATTAGTGTGTCTTTTCCCTTTCGAGTATAGGATTTGGAGTTTTAAGACTGGCCATTGCCCACTCATGCTTCCATAAATCCCCTCGGATTGATTATTTAGTTTTGGTTTTTTCCATTTTTTCTCCTTTTTGAGAGGGGGTGAATGCTGGAAAATGCTACTGAAAGGAAACCATTTATGAGAATTTCCCTTTACTTTTTCTGCTTCTTTTCAAGATCCAAATGGATTGTTAGCGGAATCTTACATAATATTTTGGTATTACGTATTCCTAACTGAATGGTTACTTGAGTACCCGCAACTGCTGGGTTTGAGCCTGTGCAAGCTTTTATAATCTGACAAAGTACTGGGCCAGTATTGGCGGGAAATTCAACCCTCCAACCTTTTCCTGGTTCCGCAACTCTGGTTTCATCAATATTTCTGAGTATTCCCTTGGTTGAAAATATATGTCCAATTTACAACCAGTGGTCAATTTTTGATTCTCAAGAAATGGAACTGTAATACAACATCTGTGCAATTATATAGTTTGTACCTGTATATATACCTATATGACTTGGATTAGTTGGGCAATGAATTGATTATTTAAATTGCTTTACTCACTATATTTATCTTACATCTTCCCTCATTCAATTTTGGTGTCAGGTACTGGGTTTGATGATGAGAAGTCATTGCTTATGTCACAAATGAGCCTCGAGAAAAGATTTGGTCAATCTGCCGTTTTTGTGGCATCCACGCTTATGGAGAATGGTGGTGTTCCTCAATCTGCAACGCCAGAAAATCTTCTTAAAGAGGCTATCCATGTTATCAGTTGTGGGTACGAGGATAAAGCGGAATGGGGAAGTGAGGTATATTGTTTTTTTGGTTCATTCTATGTCTTGGCTTCCTTCTTAGATATCATGAAGTATTAGTCATTGTTTCATGGAGCCAACAAAATACTGCCCATGTTAATGGACTTTAAGGGCCTAGTTAAGGAAGTACTGACATATGCATGTTTGTTACTGGATTTGCAGATTGGATGGATCTATGGTTCTGTCACAGAAGATATTCTTACAGGATTCAAGATGCATGCTCGCGGTTGGCGATCAATTTATTGCATGCCTAAGCGACCAGCTTTTAAGGGGTCTGCTCCTATTAATCTTTCTGATCGTCTGAACCAAGTGCTTCGGTGGGCTTTGGGTTCTGTGGAAATTCTTTTCAGTCGGCATTGCCCAGTATGGTATGGTTATGGAGGAAGGCTAAAATGGCTCGAAAGGTTTGCGTATATAAACACAACCATTTACCCGATTACTGCCATTCCTCTTCTTCTTTATTGTACTTTGCCAGCTGTGTGCCTACTTACTGGAAAGTTCATTATTCCACAGGTTCGCTATTTTACCTTCTGCATTGAATTTAAAAGGCATTTTTGTTCAACAGCCAGCGTCTATTTTTTTATAGCTAACAAGATGATGTCATTAAAAATAACAAAAGGAGTACAAAAGCGGATGAGTCCTCAAAAAGTTATATCAAAGAAGAAAGAGAAGTAGAAAAGCTAAAGACAAGTAAAAACAAAGATAAATACAACGATGAGAGTATAGCAAAACTCATCTTGTTTTATCTAGGTGTTTGAGGATGTGGTGTTTCCAGTACTATCTTAAAGAGCTAAACCTTTTCCTAGTATACCTAGTGACTGCAAGAATTTCTGACAAACTAACTGTTGAGCATCAATTTCCAGTCGAAGTATCTGAGTGTTTGGATGCACTCTTCAAGATTGTTAGTAGAATCAATTTATTATTGACCTGTTTTTATATCAGGTATTTGTGTTTCTCCGAGGTTTTATGTGGTATGGGGTTGTGCTGCTGGTATTCTGTTTGAACATGTACTAAATCACTTTACGTGCATCTTTCTTCTGCAGATTAGTAACTTTGCAAGTATCTGGTTTATATCTCTCTTTCTTTCCATCTTTGCCACCGGTATTCTCGAGATGAGATGGAGCGGTGTAGGCATTGACGAATGGTGGAGGAATGAACAGTTTTGGGTCATTGGTGGTGTTTCGGCCCATCTTTTTGCTCTTTTCCAAGGTCTTCTTAAAGTGCTTGCTGGAATTGACACCAACTTCACTGTCACATCCAAGGCGTCAGATGAGGATGGAGATTTTGCCGAACTGTACTTGTTTAAATGGACAGCTCTCCTTATTCCACCAACTACCCTTCTCATAGTAAACTTGGTGGGTGTTGTTGCTGGGATTTCCTACGCCATTAACAGTGGTTACCAGTCATGGGGTCCACTCTTTGGCAAACTGTTCTTTGCCTTTTGGGTCATTGTTCATCTCTATCCCTTCCTCAAAGGGCTGATGGGGCGCCAGAACCGGACACCCACCATTGTTGTCGTATGGTCCATTCTCCTTGCTTCTATTTTCTCATTGTTATGGGTGCGAGTTGATCCCTTTACGACTAACGTCACTGGGCCTGATGTTGAGGAGTGTGGTATCAACTGCTAAGCGAGAACACAACCAGGGATCTGGTTTGTTCAATCGGGATTTCATGTTTGGAGCTGAAGTTGAAAGACACCAACTAATGTGATTCTCTTCAGCTAGTTTTTGTATCCAGTTGGGTGTGAACCAAGTTGTCTATGTAAAGCCTACATCTTTGTGCAGAAAATAGTAAAAATGTTTCACTCCTTTTGTTGTTCCCAACATTTATCATAAACACAACCCTGTGGTTTACATAGTTTGTAACTAGAGTGGACCAATTTTGTTAGTTTGTAACTAGAGTACACTTATTCATTTCATATGTGTCCAATGTACACCACTCTACATATTATCTATTAATTTATTTTTTTCAGTAATTTCCTTTTTTTTATCCCCCCTGTACTGTAATGAGTAGCTGTTGGATTGAATGGAATAGCAGATTTATTAAGTTTCAAAATGTATGACTTGTCTTTAGATTACTTTCGATTTCATGAGCTGCAAAATTGAAAAGAGGGTAAAGAGACCCCATCATTGAGTCGGGGAGGCTTTTCTAATGCGAAAGCCAGTATTGCGATCAAAAATAAATATGTATATAAAACAAGAGGAATGGTCAAAATGCGTGTATGTGGGGAGTATGGAGCTTGAGGTGTTCATGCTTGAGGTCTCTCTATTTTTAGGGTTTTACCTCTACGTTAAAAGAGAGGGATATTTATAGGCTGTACTCATTTTTTATTGATGGAATTAGTCAAAGTCTGACATCTTTTTCTTGGAATCCCAGCACCTTGAGCTTGCAAGGCCTACCTTTAATGCAATCACTTTTGTGAGACGATGAGACTTGTTACAAAATGTCCAATCAAATAACCTTTCTCAATTTTTTTTATCATGTTTATCTAAACAAATTTAAATATCAATAATTTTTTTTAATTTTGCCGTATCTCATCTTAAATATTGATGAATTTTTTATGATGTTATCATATTTCTGACAGTTGGACTGTAGTGGATTCAAGTGAAAGTTGCTGTATTTAGTGATTCATTATTTACAGATACTGAGATGTTGGAAAGGGTTTATAATCCATATGTCGGTTGGAGAAAAACACATACTTAGATTTAGTGTACTAATGACATGATATCTAAAAGAGAGGTGTGAGTAATTGAGCATAGAGGGTGGATTGTAACAACAAATTGATAAAAAATAAGAAAAAAACAACAAATTATAATCCTTAGAGAATCAAGTTCCAAAATACATTCTGCTAATCATTTTGGGTAAGGTAACATTTGCACTGTAACGAAAAATAACTCAAATGATTGATTTTTAATTAAATAATTTACAACCTTGAAAAAATAATAAAATAAAATAAGTATACCTAGTTCATTTCTATATGGACAAAAACAAAAGTATATTATCGAAAAGTGCATTTCAATACTGTCACACTGTCAAGGTTTGATATTCTTTGACATGGCTGCAGCCTACATAACAAGAACGTCAACATTTGGACAAATTTTAAATTGGAAGCACCGATGAGTGAACTGGATGAGGTGGGTACAATGGCAACATAGATTGCCTGAGTTACTTTCCCTTAGTGGTAAAAAAATTTGGACCTCAGAAAACAGATTAGAAACAGAAGATTCTGTGGAAATTAGCTATCTTATTAGATACTAAAGTAACCCTCAAACAGAGATTCATCAAGGTTCCATTTCATGCTGCAGATCTGCCACCTATTTTCTTGTGCCTTTTTGGCTTCTAATCTACCATTTTCTTTGATACCCACAAAATTTTTCACCATATTATCTTTTGGGAGAGAATTGTTAGGGTTTTGAAGATTTGTGCAGTGCTGTGTGACAGGATGGTAGGAGCTATATTGGTCAGTGGATCATTCACTGACTCATGTTCATGCCCATGTTTGTTCCAGGTCTCCATATCTTCAAGCAGACTGAATATGAAGAGGAATGGGAACTTGGGTCTGTACAAGAACTCAATGGATAGGAGGCAATTGAATAAGCTCAGATCAGTGGATTTGAACAGTTCTTTCTTGGATTCATGGTATGAGTGGCGATTGTCCACAAAGATTCTTTCATGTATTGCATATGGGTGTGCAAGGAAGCAGAGGAAGTTTCAGTACCTGAGTGTTGTTGATGAGTTGGGAGGACAGTATGAGGACACCTTCAATGATGTGAAAACGGTGAGAGAATTTGTTTTGAATTGAATTTCTAAATTTTCTTTATATTGTGAATGGATATTTTGACGTTTTGTGCATAAGAATTTGGTATTTCCACAGTGGAATATGCAAATTCTGTCTCTTTTTGCTTGATTTTTACAGGATAATGCTAAGAAAAATTTCCGGGGAATAAAACCATATAAACAACCAAATTTTTTCTCTCATAGTCAGCAGATGAGATGTTCTATTTCCCCAAACTTTACAACTGAACTTTCATCAAGACAATGGGCATTTTTCGAATATAGAGGAATGAAAGATCCCAACAATCAACGACTTTTTCATATCCAAATATGAAGCAAATGAAGCACAATAGCTTTGGGATAGAGGATTTTGTTCTATGGTCTTGACCATTCTCGAATTAACTGGAGCTTTAGAAACGATGGCAAAAAGAGAGATGAATCCGAATGGAAACAGTAAAGAATTTAAAGATTTCAACAAAAACCTGTCTGCTTATGGAGCACTTATCTAAGCTCATTTCTGATGGAGTCTTCCCAAAGAGTTAGTGCCTTCAAAATGTAGTAGTTGTGAAATCAATCTCTGATGAACCAACTATCTTTGAAGAAACAGAAGGATATACTCTTTCTTTAGTTGCCCTCGATGGTCTGCCTACGAGTGGTACTATGACCTCAGGGCTCGACCCATATGAATCTAGAAACAGATGCAAAGGGCTTAGACAAGCACTTGGGTCATCTTCTGTCTAGATTGTCTCCATCCTTCTTCAAACAAATGAAAGTAGTTGAATGTAGACCAGCCTTTCCCCCTTCGACGTAGGAAAAGGCTGATAAGAGAGTGAAACACAGCAAAAAATATTAAGCGAAGTATAGCAGGTCAAGTACCATATAAGACGAAAAAGGATATATTCTCTTGACTAGCAAACCCAATATGTGTACATATGCAATTTCACCCTATTCGAAAACATTGGATTTTGAGTGTTTCAAGTATTTCCACTAATTTAAATGTGAACTGCCAACAGTGCAACAGCTGAATGACTAATAAACATAGAAAATGTTGTTAGAAGTCAATCAGTCATCGATTATTTCAGGCAATCTGTTTTTTGTCAATGTTGAGTGTGACAGTAAGGCTGTTTCCTTGTGACATGGGTGTCATGGGGTCGAGCCTTGTTAAGTGGGTGCCTGATCATTTGTCAGTGTCGGAATTTATGGCTTCTATACTAGTTACAGTATCAATTTATTCAGAACACAAATTTCCAAATCCAATTAAAGGGCTACAATGGTCTGTTGCCTTTGTGTTTTTTACTTGTCATGTGTTCAGTTCAGCTTAACCAAAGACCAATTTCTTTTTGCAGCAAATGATCAACTACTTCACATATAAAGCTGTAAGGACTGTTCTTACCCAACTCTATGAGATGAACCCAACGCAGTACATGTGGTTTTACAAGTAAGTATACTGTTATCTGTCACTGTTGTATTTCAAGACTTCTTTTAGCTCTTTGTTATGTTTGGTCCTTATTCAGCTGCAAAACAGATGAGTAAAACAGAAATTAAACAGATGGACTCTCAAAATGATTTTAAATCATCATTGTTATAACAAAAATTGAATTTTCTTGTCCTTTAATTTTGTTTTTCTCAGCAACCAAAAGGAATGCTACAGTAACTATGACAGGTCTAATTTAACACTACTTGAATAGGATGCACGCATTTGTGTAGAACTGAAGTGTGAATTCCATAGTCATTAATCACATGGTCATTTTTAGATGAATTTGCATGTGGTCACGTTCCATCGTTTACAAGTTGAAGCTGTAGCTTAATCTGAAATGAAAAATCACCCTGGTTTCTGATACTCTCCAACATTTATATGTGTATATTGCAGTTGTATGAATTGGTAGGAGTCTAGGGGATTTGTTATTTCACATCTATAATGTTTTGTTCTCCATTTTGGCAGCTTTGTTGCTACGAACGAGCCAAATGAAGGAAAGCGTTTCATTCAGACTCTAGTGAAGGTATGTTCAAACAATGAGAAAACACCTTGAAATTTCTCTGCAACTTCTTTTGATCCATGAAGTGGAAGGAAATCTCTCCCTCTAAACGCTCCCAAAAGCCAAAAAAGAGTGCTTCCAAAGTGCTAAAGCTTCTGTATCACAATTATCTTCAGCCTGAAAGTTTGAAATACGAATAATTCTGATAAAACAATGGCTTAATGTTCTGACATTGCTACTTAATCAGGAAAACCAGGAACTTGCTGAAAGAGTAATGGTAACACGCCTTCACCTATATGGCAAATGGATCAAGGTATGCTTGCTATACTTGCTTGTTTTATCACATGCCCTTTTCTTTCACTTGTTCAATTCACAACCTGTTACCTATCACAGTATCAAAAATCATCAGACAAGGAGTGTTTAGCTGTTGAACTAAAAGCAGATTGTGAATTCACTGCAATACAACTCGTTCTTCTATGCCAATATCTTCTTCATTTAGGGTGTGACATTGACTGATTGACCCATGTCGTATTGTGCTTAGGAAGCATCGTCCTGGGTTCATGTTAAGTATTACTCAACCATAACTTAACTCGTTTAGTTTATCATGTCAGATGTCCTCACACGAGCTCGACCTGGTTATTAATTGTGTCGTGTTTGGTTGACATGTAGGACCAGAAAAATAGGAATAAGACCATCTTCTCCCTCAATCAAATCTATATCACTTATAAGGCCCCATAAACCAAAAATCTAGTTGATCCAAATGATAGTAAAACCTAGGAAAAACTCCTCTAAGTCTGCAGGAATTCATAGAATATTACATTAAGATATGAAAAATAAAATAATTTAAATATATATTTCACACAATACATTAAAATAGATTTGTCTTGTCAACTCTAACCTCATAATTTCGTACCAGGTACATTTTGGAAACTACACATTGCTCTTAATTGTAACTTGGCACCTGTTTGAGAATTGCATTATGTAGGAATCGAAACCTCAACAACCTGCATTGCAATAACAAATAGAGAAGCTGCTAATTCATTTTCTTTTGTTTGTCACTATGACTTAGATTTGTGATCATGCTGAAATATATAAAGAAATCTCTGATGAGAACTTAGAGTTGATGCGAGAACGGCTCATGGAAACCATTAAATGGCCATCTGATGAAACAAATACAGAGAAAGAGTGATGGGGTTATGCTTCTCTCCTCAGTTTGCCATTTTTGTCTTCCATGTCCTTGATCTCTCAGTAACAAGCTCCTGATCCATCGGTTTAGGCTTGAAGGGCTTTTGTTCATTATATTTTCTGCAGTCTAATGAGAAACTCTGCTGCGATATAGTTTTTGATCTGTACATCTATACATGTTATCCACCATTATTGAAAGTTTTTGAGAGGTAGAAAATTTATGTATATTGTTGGAATATGTGGCTAAAATCCATCGATATTAATTAAGTCACGGTTGATAGTTAGATTCGGAATAAATATAACCCTAATTTGTTGGTTAAATATTATATTATTCATGATATATATCATAGATGCATTTTTTGTCAAATTATTATATATTACTTAATTATTTTATAATGATGCATGCATACATATATTGCATTGATATAATTAGATGTATGTGCTAGATCTTTTCTAGTCAGTATGGGGGACTTGGTTAGGGGGACTCATTAAGTAGGGAAAGACTAGTGAATCCCACTTGAAGTATAATTAACCTACTTTAACTGCAGAGGGTTGAGGAAATACTGGCAGAGTTGAGAAAATATTGAGGAGTTGAGGATATTTTGTTAAATGGTAACGGCTAGTTAAATCCTCTTTTATAAATAAGGTTCTCTGTACATAAAGAGTACACCAAGAAAATATCCAACTTGTGAAAAAATCAATTAAGGGAAAATCTCAATCTTACTGCTTTCATATCAAAGAGAATTTCTAATTTTCAAAACTTAGCTCCCCATTCATCAGATTCACCAAATTCTGTTATATTTTTTTTTTCTACTTATATGTTGGCCAGGAGGAACGTCCATGGGCCGGCTTGTGAAAATTTTTTGAAGGGAAGATAGACTCAAGTTCTTATCTGGTGTGAGTTACATACATCTTTATTTAAAAAGTTTCTAACTTAGTATTTTTATAAATAATATTTTTGAATTAAAAATAGAGTCAAAATGGACAAGAAGTAAATAATGAATAATGAATAATACCTTATATTATTCAACTTAGTATTCAAGTAAATAATTTTTTTTAAAGAGGAATATGCCACCTAACTTTCAATGATAATTTTTTTTCAAACAAAGTGGGCGGAGGAGGGGTTCTTGGGTTGGGTTTTAACGGATTTTTATTGGTGGACTAATGGGCCGGATAATAGGCTTGAAAATAGGCCCAAGTTTTCTCTCAAAGGATATTGAGTTTGGATTCAGACGGATTAACTATTGGGTCTATTAAATTTTGGGCTTATTTTTTGGACCGAGTAACAGGTCTTGTGGGCCAAGTCAACCCATGGACATCTCTAGTACTTGGCCATCTTATATTGCATATGTTTTTATGTGAAAATAAAGCAAAAGGTGGTTGCAGCAGACAATTGGCAAGGAAGATAGTTTTCTATTGCGAGAAATGTGGTTTAGGTGAGAATTTTATTTATTTTTCTGATATGAAACATGCATTGGCACCTTATCATAATGTAATCTAAGTTAAAAACAACATACATATGCAAAAGTAATCCTCATAGCATAGATTTCACCTTTACAAAAGATGGACTAACATTAACAAATCCAGCACATTATTTACAACACATTGCTTGACATCCAATGAAAAACTAAAAAAATAATTCGGTGGACGAGACTTCTGTCTTTATACGGATTTGAGAAATGCCAACACAGGCAGATAACGTTGCTTGACCCTTACACTAACAAGCAAAGATATTATTTCTGTGATTTAATCCCGTAAAACGAAACTCATACTGAAATAATTTTACTATGGTGTCGAGGCCCGCCTTAACCGGATAAACCGGAAAAAAAAGGTATCAAATAAGTTGATACAATGATGGACGGATCTCTTAGTGAGGTGGGCCGAAGCCGAGAGTAAAACAAAAAATAAATTTTATCATTAAGGACCAACCCATCCCCGAAAAAAATCCCATCCACCCCAACTAGCCCGGCCCAGCCCACCTGCAAACCTTCCCCAAAATAGTCGGTCACTCCCCTCCCCCCTAAAACCATGTCCTGTCCGGCTGTCCCTTCTCTCTCTCAGGCGAGTCCCTTCCCCGAATCTCCGGACAAGCAACGGCTGGCAACAGTACAAACAGGCGGCGAGCTCTAATTTTTCCATCAAATCTCTCTGTCTAGAGTCTAGTCTCTACAGATATATCACACACACAGCTATGAGGATTGGGAAAAGTTTTCCACCATCTTCTTTCTCTTCAGTCCCTGACTTAGATCCCCAACACCACCGGTCACCGGTGGCGCAACAGCACCATCTACAAGGTAGTTTAATCAGAGAACTACAGGCGGCAACACACAGGCGGCTCCAGCCTCCAATGTACCTTCTCTAATTTTCCTTTTATGTAGTTTAATTTGTTAAGATTTGCTTTACTTTTAGGCTTTTGTAGTTTAATTTTTTAAGATTTGCTTGCTTTACTTACTGCTTGCTGCATATCTAACCTTGCATTAGATTTTTTGGATATGTGTTCTTGCCAAAGTGGGTTTATTAGCTATCTTGAGAATTGATTTCTGATTTTTTAGAATTGGTTTAATAGCTATCCCAATGTGGATTTTTTGGATATGTGTTCTGATTAAACTGCCCTTGACAGCTGATAGTGCTGAGACTGCAGTGGAAGCACATAAATAATTGATTCATGTAAATAATACCTCCAACAAATTATGGTTATACATGTTGAAAATCAAGTATAGACCAGAATTCTACTCAATGTATGCATTGGATACAGCCATTCAACTAGCTATTTAACAGGCATAAAAGCAAGAAATTGTGTTCTATAGTTTTCTGGTGAGCAGTATGTTCTCAAACAAAATTAGTCTATGTCATCCAAGATAGCAAATCCCTTAAATGATGTGCAGCGCAAATAAAAATTAGTCAGACATGCGGTTATCTTCATTCACTGATAAATCAAATTAACACTGCCACTGAACAAAGCTTGATAAAACTTATACAAACTACTTCTACCACAAAAATAAATGCTTTTGTTGGTTCATTGGCTATCATATCATTCCATAAATGCAAAAATGCTTTCCCATTTGTAGTCTATGTCATCTTACCAATATTAACAAGAAAGCACCTCATTATTTATCATTTCAAAATTTCTCATAGGTATCACAACTGACACTATCCTTCCATGTCCTACCACTTCAAATGTCGACCTCACGTATGCTTCGCCTATGCTCATTTTGGTGTTATCTCCTGCCTACCTTGATATGATTCCGAATAATTCCTTCTAAGCTTGCTTTAGCTACTTGTTCTTAATACTTTGCGATGTCGTTGATTGCTTACCTATTGAGATTAATTTATACTTTGCGATGTCATTGGTGCTAGATGTTTTGCTGTTATAATAGTTCTCATCATAAGGGTATTCAATAGGCCAAGCCATGGGATAGAGTTTAAGATCACCATTTGAGAATTGGAGCTCAAACCTGCCCTTTGAGTAATTGGCTTCATTTAGCCTTGAATAGAGTTTGCCTCCCAATCCCAATACTTGGGTTGCCTCCCAATTCCAATAATTTATACTTCTGCCATCCATATTGTTCGGCTTGAGGATCGTTTAGAACCAGTCCAGTCGTCCTGAGCTCAAGACTCTTCCTTCTCTTCACTGTTTCCAACTTTTTCTGGATTATTAGCTCTATCTCCTTCTAGCTCTCTATATCTATGCAAATACCTCCTTAGTGGTCCAGGAGTATAATTGCAAAATATGGAGTATAATTGCAGCAGCTGTGTTGCATATGGGTCCTCTTTACTGTCATCGATTTAAATGTTCTATTGTTAGCGCAGCTAGCTATGTGTTATTTATACCATTGATTTCTTCTTATCTTGACATCCTTTTCCAGTTCAAAATGTTGCATTCGAAATTTGTTTCTCTAGTTTGTTTCTCTAATTTTCAACCCTTCTCTACTTTATTAGGATGAAAAATCAAGAACGAAAAAGAGCAAAAATAATTTTTTCATTCTTCAAAAAGAAAAGTGGAGGAGAAACATCAAATTATAGTCTTGAACATCAAAAAGAAAACCTATGATTCCTGCGGCTGTTGAACTTCAAGGTTCTCAACCTCAAACAAAAGTTACAAGGATTCCTTATGATGAGAATGAATTTAAACGAGATTCTGCATTGCGTATTCCGATATGAATACATCCTGTTTATAATCAAGATGAAGTTAGACGTGCTTATATAAAGTGGGGACCAAATCAACCTATCTTGGCTGAGTATCCGAGGACTAAAACTGGAGTTCAAAATCGAAGATTTCAGGAAAGTTGGTACAAAAAATTTCAATTGCTAGAGTATTCTATTTCAAAAGATGCGGCATTTTGCTTTCCGTGCTTTGTTTTTCAATGTCGTGAACCTCTACATCCTGCATTTATCGTTGATGATTTTAGTAGCTGGAAGAGAGTGAATAATAGGGTCAAATGTGTTTTCTTGTCACATATGGGAGGTCCTGCTTCCACACACAATAATATTGTGAGAAATATTGAGGCGTTGAAGAATATATCAGTGTACATTGATAAAGTTATGAATGTTCAAAGTTCAGAAGAAATAAAGAGAAATCGATTGCGTCTTAAGGCTACCATTGATAGTGTTCAATGACTTACTTTACAGGGATGTGCCTTGAGAGGTCATGATGAATATGTAATGTCAAAGAACCGCGGTAATCTAATTGAGATGATTAGTTTGATGACAAAGTTGAATGTTGAGATAAATGATGTTATCTTAGAGAAAGCTCCAAGAAATGCAAAGTATACGTCTCTGATTCAAAAAGATATTTTGCATATTCTAACTACTAAAGTAAGAGAAAAAATCCGTGAAGAAGTTGGAAATGCCAAGTTTTGTATTTTGGTTGATGAAGCAAATGATGCATCAAATAAAGAACAGATGACAATTGTTCTAAGATTTGTTGATGTTCAGGGTTTTTTGCAAGAGAGATTTTTTGAGATTGTGCATGTTAAAGATACCACTTCTTTAACTCTTAAGAAGAAAATATCAAAAGTTCTTACTCGACACAATTTGCACATTTGAGATTTACGAGGTCAGGGATATGATGGTACTAGCAACATGTGTGGTACATTAAATGGATTGTAAGCTTTGTTCCGCAATTATTGTGAGTATGCATACTATGTTTATTGCTTTGCTTATCGTTTACAACTTGCATTAGTTGCAACTGCTGAAGATGAGATTTCAATATGACAATTTTTTTCCAAATTGACATGCATTGTCAATCTTATTAGTGTTTCTCCTAAGCGTCATACAGAACTGCGATCTGCCCAAGCTACTGAGATTGAAAGGGGGATAGCTAGTGGTGAACGAGAGACTGGTAAATGGGCTAATCAGATGGGTACTTTGCATCGAGCTGGTACTACTCGTTGGAGCTCACATTTTGAATCCATTTGCGGTCTGATAGATATGTATGATGCTATCATTAGTGTGTTTGAATGTATGGTTAATGAAGGATTCAAATACAATTCGTGGGGAAGCTGGTGGTTCTTTATGACAATGAAGTCCTTCGATTTTATATTCATATTGCATCTTATGCACAAGATTATGGGAATTACGGATATGCTTTGTCGGGCATTGCAGCATAAATCATTAGATATTTTGAATGCAATGAATTTAATCTCATCGACAAAAACATTGCTTCAAACCTTTCGTGCAGAAGGTTTTGGTTATCTCCTTGACCGTGTGAAATCAATTTGAATGAAATTTGATGTCGATATACCTTATATAAACACTCAGTACAAAGAGGCAAGACGTTCATGTCAATAGAATGATAACATTACAGTTGATCATCACTATCACATGGACATATTTAATGCTACTATTGATCATCAGTTAGAAGAGTTACATAGTAGATTCAATGAAGAGACAATGAAATTGCTTATGTTCAGCTCTATTTTAGATCCTCGGGATAACTTTAAATCTTTCAATCATGATCGCATTTGTTTACTTGCTAAGAAGTTTTATGCGGCTGATTTTGATAAACAAGACATGCATCATTTGAAATGTCAACTGGATCATTATCAATTTGATGTGGTTTGTCATGAGAGTCCTACAATTTCAAAATTATGTCGTGGTTTAGTAGAAACAAATAAAGTAGAGTCCTACAATTTGATTGATAGGTTAATTCGTCTTATTTTAACTCTTCCCGTTTCTATGAGAACTTTAGAAAGAGTATTTTCAGCCATGAAACTTGTCAAAAGTACTCTTTGTAACAAGATGGAAGATGAGTATTTGACTGATTCGTTAGTTGTATACATTGAAAGAGAAATAACGGAAATAATCGATACAGATTCAATAATAGATATCTTTTGTTTTAGGAAGGATCGAAGAGTCCAATTTCATTAGTAAGTGTTTATGAGTTTACATTTGTATTATTGAATATATGTTTATGAGTTTACATTTGCATTATTGAATATATGTTTATGAGTTTTCATTTTTATTTTGTTAATCGTATAAATGTTTAACTTAACTCAGAATAAACAAAAATTCTGGCTCCGTCGTTAGTGATCACACGTGATCACACACGTGGATTCAGACCTATCCCTTGCATGGAACAGGCGACGTGCCCAAACAGCAGACAAGCACAGATTCATCGTTTATGTTTGAGTTAATTACAATATGTTCCCTCCAAGTTTTGTTTTCATGTTACAATCAACTCTTTCTAATTTCAAGTTCAACCACTTTTCCTCTTAAAGTTTCATAGGGACTAAATTAAATAATTGAGTGGATGAAAAATGAAAAATTTCTAAAACACCCTTGATCTTTAATGTCTTTTTCTTTCTTCTCAGTATACCCACCCACCTCTGCATGTACATGTATATAGGTCTCTCTCTTCAATTAGATACATACAAAAGATACAATAAAAAAAAAGAAGGGATTTTTTAAGGATTTTTCAAGCACGTGATAGGAAAAGGGTAAATTTGTTTTTGATTGAATTTTATATCATGTGATTCTTTTCCGTCATTTTTGACAGTGGAAAACTAACGGTATGAGTTAATTGAAAACCATTCAAACTTTAAGGGGTCAATTGTTAAAATTAAAATCATAAGGAGTTGATTGTAATATAAACAAAACTTGGTGTGGGTATTTTGTAATTAACCCCTTCATGTTTATGACAACCGACGTACGCCATAACGCCACCTATTCAACCTCACATTGACACCTATTCTCACTGCTCGACACGTGGCCTTATATCCATAATCCTTAAAAAGACCACTTAGTACGGCCAATCTTTTCACCACTTTCAGAAAAAAAAAATAGTTTTTTTTTATTCAAGAAAAATATTTCTCTCTCCAGCGAAAATAAGGTAGGAAGCTAGTATGGCTGTTGCTACAGAAGAGCCTATTTTCTCAAGGCTTGACCGTCTTGATAATATTGTAAGTATAGTCCTCTTGGGATGTGTTTGGGTGCTTTATTATTATTATTATTTTGTTTTATTGACTTTTCTACTAATCAGTTGAGGCAGTTGGAGGATATAAGAGGTAGCCATAGATCTCCAAAGAGCTCATCATATGCATCTACACCATCAAGTGGTACCTTGACAAGCGATGGTGGTCATGTCTCATCCGTTGATTTCTCTCCAAAAAGTTTAGAGAAGCACTGCCGTCCGATTGACGATGTGATCATGGAGATTGAGCTCAAAGGGACCCTCATTCAAAGGCTGGTTCATGTAGAGGATCGTGTGGTCAAGGTAATAGAATTAACATACATAAAGCCATCTAGGCCGTTCACTTTAATTTGGGTTGTATTGGGGTTCTAACTCATTGAATCCAAGTGTCATTCAGAGTTTGTATAATTTGGGTTGATTTTAAATGGACTAATTTCAATTGGGCTACCCAAAATGCAAGTATTGTTGGAATTTAAATCGAGTCGGATTTTTTTGGTCCAAACCCAATTTGAAAAATGGAAATTTTAACCAAAATACTATATATTTTGGGATAATCTGTACCAATTGCACCCACGATTACCTTGATTAGGAAACTGATCGATGGTCTGATTTGTGATTTTAGTTATGTTTGCAGTTAGAAGGAGAATTTGAGGCAGAGAAGAGGAGGGAGGAGCAATCAGCAGAGAAAAAGCCTAAGAAGAAGGGTTTAAAGCAAAGGATTAACTCATGGGTGAAAGGAAGTAAGAGGCATAAAGGAAGGACTAAACAGTAGCTTTAAGGAGAGAGAGAGAGAAGAAGTGCATGTTGTAGCCATATAGCACAATGCTGTATTTGTATTTTTGTTTTTTGTTTTTTTCAATTTTTTTCTTTCTTTTGAAGATTTGGTACATAAAATAAATAAAGAGTGTTTTTTTTTTTTTTTTTACCATAGGGCTATAAATAAACATAAAATAAATAAAGATTTGTGAGTAATTTTAATCTACTGTGTCTATGTTGGTAGTTTTTAGTCTTGTTTCTTGTTTTTGTTTTCTATAGTTCATCCCTTCATTATGTTTCCAAACTCATTTACTTAAAGTTATTTTATTTTAGTTTCGTTGGAGAAAAAAATAATTTTTCTAAAGCACGAAGGAGATGTTTATGATTATGAGCATAGACTTATTGTTACAGTTGGTTGAATTTTGTCCCGTAGCTTGTCTTGGGCTAAAAGCCATGGATGTCGGCTGGCCCGACTCTGAATTATATTTTTAACTGCACATTTTTTTTGTAAGACATATTGCTCTGGGTACTAATACCAGAGGTGTTTAAATTTTTGATTAATTACAATTTGTTACTCTATTCGATTTTATTGAACTGCTAGTTGAAAATTTTGGATAGGAATGCAGAAGAGTTTTTGGTCTTTCGATTAAATCGGGTGCGGAATAGTCATTAATTTTTGTATTCTCACCTTATCCTACCCGCATTAATTTATATATATATAAATTAAAAATCCTAATTCCCTAACCATATGGTTTAAACTTAAAATAATTGTTATTTTATTTGTGCAACAATTATGACAGGATTGATGTTTATACTTTTTTGTGTTTTATTGTAATTATTGTTGTAATTATTTTATGTTTTAGTGTTATTAATTTATTGTGTTGTTAAATTGATGTATGTTATTTAATTAAATTATTAAAATAATCTAAAAATTAATAATTATAAAAGTGTTTACCCGATTTTCTACTCGACTTTCTATTCGATTAATTTGGTCGGAAGTTGGATGAAAATACCATACTTGATCGGGTAGGATAGGTTAATAAAAATTCTTCCACAAAATATTAGGTAGGAAGACGGAAGGTAGAGTCCAATTACCGGATGATAGAATTGTACTACTTTGTGATTAATGACGGAGAGTCAGTTGCGCGTTATTTTTGTTTGACCCAGCCTATCTTCTTTATATAAACAAGCTCTCCCAACCATCCAGGAACAAGACGGCTCTCGGTTCTTGATCATGTTGGGGGAAGACCAATAGTTTTTATCTTCCATAGTAGGAGGGGCAAAACCTTGTGACAAAGTGGCACCATTTGCTTCGTGACCTAAATGGACAAAGCTAGAACCTTGCAATTTGCCCTACAAATTGACCATTAATTGATAGAATCCGTAGGTGCAACCGAGGAGTGGCAAGTGTTTGGCCATATGAACATAGACAAAAAAACTTGGTCACTAGACAGAAGCCAAATGCAGCGTAGGAGTGCCAGGTGTCCAATATAATTACTCGAATGTGATTATTGTGGGACCCACCTTTGTTTGTACCCTATCTTCACGGAGTAATACTATATTAACCAAGATTATGAACAAAAAAGAGTGATCAATAACAAGACAGCTAACGCGGAGTCTAATCAACCTTTTACGTCAATCGTCATATTATTTGATCACTCATTTTATTCTTAATTTTGGTTAGTATAACATTACTCATTCTCAGGTAGACAAAATAGCCTAAATCTCGAGAAAATATTCATTACAATAATTATACCAAGTGACGATTCAGATGCAGAGTAAATATTAAAAGTAACAATGATATTATGTCATTATTTGATGTCATGTTATTACCAATCAATAATAAAATTTTAAATAGATAAGGTAAACTCGTACTTGAACTTACATAGAAGAAGAGTAGGAAGTTATTTACTTATATGGTAAGTTAGTTATTACTTTTTGTGGGGTCTATTTATTTATTTGTTTGTTTTAATATTATTGATATGTGATACTAGCTCACATTATCATGTGGTATCACCGTTGTAATGAATATTATCTCGTTGATGCGATATTACCAATCAATAATATCAAAACAAAAAAAATAAATGGGTCCCACTAAAATTAATAAGCAACTCTTCATACAAGCAAATAACTATCATTCTTTCTCCATATAAGTAAATTAGTCATAACTTGTGCCTGAAGGTACAATAAAATATAAAATTCGAGTGTTCAAAAAATCGATTCCACTATATTAAATTTTTTAAAAATATATTAACTACAAATTAATTAAATATTAAATAATTAAATATATGATAGAAATGAGTGATGTAATATTTTTAGGGAGAAAATATATAAATGATTAAATATGTGATAAAAATGAGTGATGTGATTTGACATTTGAGTTTGACAAAAAGATGATGGGTGAAATAAGTAATTGATGATTGTTTTGAGAAAAAAAATATGACTGAGATAAAATTCAAACACACTCCTGTTTTATTATATAGATAATTATTCAAGTGAGATTTATCTTATCTATTTATTATTTTATTATTATTTAGTGATAACACGTTAATATTATTGGCACAGTATAACCGTTTTATTTAATATTTACTCATAAATGTCAATGTCAGCATCCCACGAAGAGATGTTTGATAAATATATGGCTCACCTCCAAGAAATAATTTGCACAGTGGGGGAGGGGGGACCTTGGAGGGTTGTTTGTTTGTTGATCTCCATCATTTCGATGTTTCAAATGTAGATGAGATAGAGTTATCAAACGATTGAATTTAGTGATTTATAGTCATGGCGGAGCCCGACATTTTCTTTAGTAGGGAGAATTTAAATCATACGAATATTAAAATTATTAATATTTACAAAAATATAATTTTATTAATAAAACGCTAATTAAAGTTGTAAACCATATACATGAGCGTTATACAAAAATAATCCAAAAAAAAAAAACTCAATATAAATTTATCTAAAAGGCCTAATCACTTAAAAGAATTTTTTTGAACAAAAAATTTGGGCTCATCATATATAATTGAATTTTAACAAACAATCGAAATAAACGTAAAATATGACTAATTCTATTAAACTAAACTTGAGTATATGAATTACTTAACCAATCATAATAAAACTATTCAAACCACCAAATCAAAATAATTTAATCAAACACATAATGGAAGGATTTAATCTTTTAAATGATTTTTTTTGACGTTTATAAGTGAGACTTATATATTTATAAAAATATCATAACTACCTATAAATCTTTTAAAAAAAATTTAGTGGGGCTCAAATTTCTAATAAATTTTAAAATTTTTAAAATTATACTTACTCCCCAAATATTTTTAAAATTCTAGTGAAAGCAACTACCATTAGTGTCCCCATTGCGGATCCGCCACTGTTTATAGTTAAGTGGAGTAGCATTTTATATCTTTATTTGAATGTATGATTGTGTAGGTGTATATGCCTTTCAAATTTAACCAATGTTCCGTTCAAATTTAATTTTCAAAGAATGAAAGTGCGGGGATATGACTGTGATTAGAGTCCATATGTTGAAACTTACCTTTCCATTATAACCAAAAGGACTTTCAAAACACTTGAACTTATTGGTTACATGGTCAAACAAAAATTGAGACATAAACTCGTATGTCCTAAGTTTGAATCTCATTGACTGCATGACTGATTGAGTATTTGTGCGACATTTTAAGGGCGAGGAGGGTCAGAATTTCAAAGTTGATCACTAATAAAACCATTGCTTATCATATTGTGCGGGCTTGATCCTGCACGATATATATATAATATTGGGAACAGATCTCTCCCCTGGTGAACTTTGGGTGAGCCGGTTGAGCGGCCAAGCACACTGCTCGAAACAGCTTACGATCCTGGGAAAGGAGGAACGATCCTGTACGTGCGAAAGGTATTTCCTGGAACAAAAGAGAACAGGTTAGAAGGGCGCCGGAGTGTTTTCCGGCATATCCCCTCCAACGATCTAGTCAGTCTTTGAATGAGAGAGAGGAAGGAGAAAACACTGAGAAGGATATTTCGTAGTAGAGAGTTTGTGATTGCATACCATTTGCCTTTTTGGGAGGGGTATTTATACCTTAGAAGCTCATGATTGCTGTCAGTGTGGTCAGCAGGTGATCATTAGGCGCTGGCAGCGTGTGTATTGGTTTGATGAGAAATGTCTTCTCTAATTGACTGCTCGGGGTCCCGAGCAATTAATGTTGAGTGGTCGGGACGCCGACGGTACAATATGCTCCTTTCGGGAAGGATGCAATAAATGCTCTGTAATAGGAGCATTTATTGCCTTTCATATCCGAACCTTACCGTATTAAATGCGGTCTTGTCAACAGAAGGGTGCAATTAATTGTTTGCTTCCCAAAGCGCATGTCAGCAATAGCGTGCGGTTTGCCTGTTTTTGATGTGATATCATATGCCACGCGTCCGTCACGTATTGGCTAAGACTTCTGTGTTCCAGCATGTCCTGACATTACTTGTGTAAGACGAGGTCATGATGAATAGTCCAGACTGGCATAGGCTGATGTCCAGTTTTGTCAGTAGCTTTATCCGGGAGTAGAGGAAGCGTCCAGGATGGAGTGACCCTCGGTGCCGAGGAAAGGCTCACCTCGGGGGACAAAGGGTGGTGTGTTCCCGAGGTACATGGTGACCGAGGACACATGTCTTTGCATACTGTACCGAATATGTGATCCTATATGAGAGGTACCTCGGGGAGAGGAAGCTTTGCCGATGGTGCTCGAACCCGAGCAACATTGTTCTAGAAATCCCCGAGGACACGTGTCTTCATCATAGGCTTTTTCAGAAGAGTCCCATCAACTGCCCCCCCAGCCTTCGATCTTCTGACGTCGAGGACACGCGTTGTCAGGAGACGAAGGGTTTTCCAACTGCCATCCGTCCTTCATCATGGCCTCGAGCAGCTTTCCCCGTCTTGGGATGTCGTGCGCATTAAATGCGCCGTTTTTGGTTCTCCCGCCCAATGATGACAGTTTCCCCACTATATAAAGGGGGTTCTTCTCCGGTTTCCTTTGTTTTGCAACTCCGATCTCTGACCCAGAATACGCTTTTTCCGATCTGCTTCGCCGGAGTTTCTGTTTCCTCAGCCACTTTCGACAGTATCTTCTCTTTAAAATCACAGTCAGTAAACCCATTGTTGACTCCTG